AAGATGGGGAAGAGGATAAGTAGAGAAAATTGGGAAGCCAAAAAAAGATTATGTTTACAGAAAATGTGAAGGTGAGAGAGCTTGGTGTTTATTTACAAGGAGCAAAGGCGGACAAAGCATTATGCCTTAGAAGTACTGTAAGATGGCTGTCTTCATCTCAGTGAAGAGTGGGATGAAATTGTTCTGTAGAATAGCAAGGGGGGCATGAATTACCTGAGATGAAAGGGGAATTGGAGACCTAAAGTTTAAGTAGTACTCTTTCTCATAGATTCTGTGGTGTAAGATTGGGGGACTTAACATTTTGCATGTATGGAGGAGTAAAGGAACTTGATAGAGAGGCAGGGAGTAGGGATGTGATGGAGAGACACCAGGGATTTTTAGAACTAAAATTTTTCACATACAGTATTTTATTTCTCTACAGCAAAAGAATCATCAACCTGGGGCCTGTGCATCCAGGACCTCTGAGTCCAGAACCACAGCCAATGGGTGTTAGGGTCATCTGTGGACACTGCAAGAATACTTTTCTGGTGAGGAGGGGATACCATAAGGAGCAATGTAGGGAACCCTGAAAAGGTCTGTCCACATTTCCTATTATTCTCCCATGTCCCGAGGTTCTCAGTGAGTAAGACATTCCTTCTACAATTACTTTTTCTTTCTTAATAGTGGACCGAGTTCACTGACCGAACCTTGGCACGCTGCCCCCATTGCAGGAAGGTGTAAGTGAATAGGGACTGATCTGGCAATTTGGTGATGTGTGGAACAAAAGCACCAGAGCCATTATGACTCAATTTGTTTGCTTCCTCACAGGTCATCTATTGGGCGCAGATACCCAAGGAAGAGATGTATCTGCTGCTTCTTGCTTGGTTTACTTTTGGCAGTCACAGCCACTGGGCTTGCTGTGAGTAACCTTGACCCAACCCTTTTCAGTCATCAGCTTCATCCCAGGCTGTTTGGGAAACCAGAAACCTTAAAAAAAAAAAAAAAAGTGACAGATAATGGGAGTTTTAGGGTGTCATCTAGCTGACTGTCTTATTACCAAAGGAATTTAAACAACTTTTCTGTAGCAGTCAGGGCAGTGGAGAAATGGTTTAAACTGAGCTGCTACTAGGCGTAGTTCAGACTAAGGTATTGACAGATGTCTGGGATGGTATGATTTTCCTGTTCAGGGGAAGGGAACTGAGTAACTTGGCCTTTCAGATGTCCCTGAAGGTGTTTCTTTGTGGATTGGGAACAGGAATGAAATGAATCGTGTTCCAATTCCTGGGCTTCTCAGTAATAGTACATGAAGAGTAACCTCATCTTTTTCTCCTTTCTCCTCTTCATCAGTTTGGCACATGGAAGCATGCACGACGATACGGAGGTATATATGCAGCCTGGGCATTTGTCATCCTGTTGGCTGTGCTGTGTTTGGGCCGGGCCCTCTACTGGGCCTGTATGAAGGTCAGCCACCCTGTCCAGAACTTCTCCTGAGCCCCTTGATGATCCACAGACTGTGCCTGGCCCCTCCCTGGTGGGGACAGTGACACTACAAAGGGAGTGGAGTAAAAGGCTCCCTGGGCTTCTACATGGAAGCGAGGCAGCTGCCTTCCTTTTCCCAGGGGAGAGGTAGGAAGGAACCAGGCCCTCACTGAGGTTTGGAGGGGTAGATGAAACCACTGCTGGCCTTCTGCTTTCCTCCGAGGGTTGCTGTGTGTAGGGTGAAGTGGGCAAGGTATTGCCACTAAACCTGGGTCCTCTGATGGTTCTAGCCTTGTCCTTCCTATGTGCTCCCTGAGACCCACTCCTGTCCCTTACACATTCCAGGGCAGGGTGGGGGTGGGTAGCCCTGGGGGGTTCCCCTCCCTCTCATGCACCACTTAGGACCTTGCTGCTGCTGTTGCACTTCACCAGGGGCTGGCTCTGACCTCAGTACCCTGTTTCCTCTCCCCACATTCCGTGTCCTGTGGGGGTGGGGTCAGCCGCTGCTCTGTACAGAACCACAGGAACTGATGTGTATATAGTTATTTAATGTGGGGTACACTCCCCCAGTCAATGTTTTCCTTAATTCCTCCTTCCCACCTTTCTCCCCCACCTCCCCAGTTGCAGTATTTAACTGGGCTGGGTAGGGCTGCTGTCTCTGGAGGTTAGGGATTTATCCAGTGCTTGTAAATAAATAAGGTCATGACTAACCTTTTTCAGTTGTTAACTTGTATGAATGAAGAGGAGGAAAATTTGTAGCCCTACTGAGGGATAAAACATAAACACAGCAAGGCTGAAACTATGGCTTTTTATTTATACATGGATAATTCAAAAGAACTCACCAGAAATTTCAAAGTAAGGGGGATTCACAAAGAAGAAACTTCGGGCTTAAAAGAAGCTGGTCACTGGTGCCTGGTCAGAGGATTCATATTCTCATAGACGAAGTGGTAAGGCTGGATTTTTAAGAGTTATTAAAGGAGGAATATTTGGGGGGATGGGGACTATTCCCAGGCTCACAGTGGTTTGGAGAACATGTCACAGTGCTAAGTACAGAGTGATGGGACAGTGATCACTGCCAAGGGCCTTAGAACGGATCTTGCTGTCACACAAAGCAGGTAAAAGGGAATGGGACAACAAAAAGTAATCAAGGCGCCAACCGACATTCTTGGACCGAGCGTTCATCATGTAAGTCCAAAAGGTGTAGGCATAGGTAGCATTAGGGTACAGATGACGAAAACTGTCAGCCAACGGCACAGCCTGCAGTAGTTCCCCAAAGCCTTGGCGCTCCTGTGGAGTGAAGCCAGCATTCTTTTTGTTTCCCTTGGGGTTACGAAGGTCAATTTCTTCATGAGCCACATTGAGGTCCCCACACAGTACAAGAGGTTTGCGGGAAGCCACGCCCTTCAGGAACTTGCGAAAGGCTTCATCCCAGCGCTGCCTGTACTCCAGCCTTACCAGACCCCGACCTGCATTGGGTACATAGGCTGTAACCAGCACAAATGAGTCAAATTCAGCCACAATCACTCGGCCTTCCTGGTCATGTTCCTCCTCACCTAACAAAAATGACAAGAGTCAGTATTAAAAAAACAAAAAAAGCAGAGGAAAAAAAGATTAAAACACCGAAGCAAGGTTGGAGTATTAACAATTGGTTTTTAAAAGCCTGGGCATTAGGAATAAATAGGGTCTCACCAATGCCATAAGACACTTTGAGTGGGCAGTGGCGTGAGAGTAGACCCACACCACTATACCCTTCCTTGTCAGAAGGCGCTGACCAGTACTGATGGGAGAGCCCAGTCAGCTCTTGAAGCTCAGCTGGGAGTTTGTTCTCTGAACATTTGGTTTCTTGGAGGCACAGGATATCAGGGGCTTCTTCCTTTACCCACTGAGAGTAACAACAAAAGGCAGAAAAAGTAATCAATTCAACAGATCTATTTGCTGGACCGTTCATACACAAATACTGTATTTGTATACTAACTAAACATATAACTCTTGTGCATAAGGAATTCAACAAATTGTTAATACTTAAAACAATTACAAATTATGTGACTGAAAATTAAGGGAATTGAAGTCATACATTGAAGTAAAGGTTTTTTTCTTTTTGAGGTACTGGGGATTAATCCCGGACCTTTGCACTGAGCTACATCCTCAGCCCTTTAATTTTTTGAGACATAGATTCACTAAATTGCTGAACTGCCCTGACGGAGCTTGAATTTTCGATCCTCCTGCTTCAGCCTCCCAGAGTGCTGGGAATACAGGTTTGTTCAACTAGAATTTTTAAACAGTAATTATGAGAATGCAGGATTGCTGGAGATAAAATGGAGAAAGTCCAGTAAAGAGGTTTTTTGGAACAGGAAGGGACATACAGGTAAGACTTGGTCTCCTCCCCTCATACTACTCCCCATAAAAAACTCATAACCTGGCTAGATGTGGTGGCACGTGCCCTGTAAGCCCAGCACTCAGGAGGCTGAAGCACAAAGTGAGACCCTGCCCTCCCAAAAAGAACTCATCCTGGGAATTGAAATGACCAAAGGTGGTTAAATTCCAGGATTACTCAGTATCAGGTAATGTCTCCTCCCCTGCCTGAATTGCACTCACATCTAAACCCTTCTTCTTAATCCAAGCGCGAAGCCCATCCACATTCCAAGAGCATATCTTGAGTGTGGCAGATTTGCCACTAGGTGAGGTTTTTTTATCTGGAGGATCCTCATACAAGACTGGGCCCTCTCCTGCTGCCTCTTTTTCGTTTTTCTTTGCTCCCACTTTACTCTTCTTGGCCTCTGGCTCTACAAAATGGGTAAGACATAATGGTAAAAGTAGGCAGTTTCCAACTTCAAGAATTAACAGAGTTGACCTAACTGGTCAACTGGAAAAATGTAACTCAGCCTTAATAGAATAAATTAACACACCCCACACACACACTTGTGGGAAGAGGGGCTCAGATAATTCTCTTACCTCTCTTAGGTTCTTCCCCATCTTCCGCCACTGATCCCTTTTTCCCACGCTTTGGCATTCCTGTAACAAACGCCCTTCGGCACCTGTACCACGTCGCCCACCAAAACAGTATTTTCACCGTGTGGTCTGTAGACGGAAAGAAATACAACCAGGAAAGGCTGAAGAGAAGACGCCTCCCTCGGTCGTGCCCCGACCAGGTCCCGCCTTTCAAACCATTTATCTCTGAATCCTTTCCCCGCCTTTGAGCGTCAGGGGCCCTTCAGCCCTTCACCCACATTAGATCACTTGAGTGCCTCGCTTTCTCCCAAGGTGTGCCCTTTGGCTGCAGGGGGCCTTAATGAAGAGTCCTGACTCATCAGGCCCCCTGCGAACCGCGTATTAGAGGAATAGCCATCCCGTATCCGACCTGCTCGCGTCCCAGCGTGACTTCTCCTTAACCGAGCACAAAGGATACAGCACGCTGGGCCCCCACGTGGGAAACAAACGCGGTCACGTGACCCGACGCTCGTCCGTCCGAGGAGGGCGGGTGATTGGCTGTCTTGAACCACGTGACGAAAACCACTCCCCTTTGTACATCTTCAGGGGCTGAAGGCCCCCGCACTCCATTTTTTGGCTGTTTGTGGAAGCGCCGGTGTGATGAGTTATTCTACCACCGCGACCAAACAACGTAATACTGTGCAAAAGGGAAGAAAACATTGAGAAGGCTGGGCTGGACTACAGGGCACAGGCAGGGGCACCAACAGGGCCGCAGGCGCAGAGGTGGTTCGCGCCGCGGCAGGCGGAAGGGCAGGTCCTGGAAGGGGCCTTGCGGGCAGCGGCGCCGCGGGCGCGCGCTCCCCCTGCCGGGGCCCCGCGGAGTTGTTCGTGTCCGCGCCCCGCGTGTGTGCGGGCTGAGCGGGCTCCGCGCTCCGGAACCGCCCCCGGCACGGACAGTCGCGGGCTTAGCGCCGCGGGTGTGCGGAGGCCGCCGGCGCTTTCTCCCGGCCTGCACCATGCCGGCGGTGCTGGGTTTCGAGGGCAGCGCCAACAAGATCGGCGTGGGGGTGGTTCGCGACGGCGAGGTGCTAGCGAACCCGCGGCGAACCTACGTTACGCCCCCGGGCACAGGTGAGCGCCAGGGGGACTTGAGCGCGAGGCCCGCTTCCCCGCGCCCGCCTTCCTCCGCTCCAGGGAAGCGGGGTTTGGGGCGCGGTTCTCCCTGCGGCTTTGGTCTGAGTCCGCTTGAGGTTGTGTGAAAGTCATCGTTACTGAGGCCGATGACTGGAAGCGTCGCTGGGACTTGGAGCTTCTGCTTCATTCAGATTGAGTCCCTTTTATGTTGTGAGCATTCGGAAGAGACAGGGCAGATAGCTACTCTACAGTGTAGTAAATGGTTTGGTAGGGATAGCATTAAAAATATTTTGGAATGGAATGAAAGCAGAAAGATGCCTAGCTTGGGTGTCAAAACAGATATACCTGATTTTGCTGTTTTTGTATTCTGTAATGTTTTGGATATGTCCTCCTTAGTTTTAAAATGGCAATACTAAATGTCTTCCTGGGTCTTGAGGACTAAATGAACAGACACGTCATAATTTTTAATTAATATTACTTATAAGGTACCGTAGTCTGTGTACCTTCCCCTCAAAAATCTGTAGACTTAGGAAAGGGCAGCTGAGCTATGCAAACCTGGAAAGTTTCCCCGAGGCAGGTTGCTTATTAGAAATGTACGTGCATATTTGCCACTTACTTTCCTAGGCACTTGGGCCCTGGAAATACAAAAATAGCCAGTGTTCTGAAGTATTTTTGGTTAAACTGGAGAAAGTACAGACAGTTACAGTGGTGAAATTGTTATATGTTGGGCTGGACGTGGTGGCACACATCTGTAATCCAGCATTTGAAAGGCTGAGAGGCAGGAGGATCACCGCGAGTTGAAGGCTAACCTGGGCTCCTTAGTGAGCTCAAGCCAGCCTGAACTACATAGCGAGACCCAAAAAAGAAAAAAAAAGAAAAAAACAAAAATGTCTCAAAAAAGAAAAAAACAAAAATGATGGGTCAGAAACAACAGTGTAGTGACACATAGAGTTCTGTAGGGTCATAGGAAAGTCACTGAAGAGTTTGAGCTGCGTATCACTTAAGTTGAATTCAAAGGCTAAAGATCTGAGTATGAAGGACATTTCTGAAAGCTAAAAAGCATGTACAGAGGCTGGAAAGATGATCTGAAAACATGGAATACTGAAAGGATTCTTCCTACGTTATTCAAACTTCTATTTTTTTTTTTTTTAATTACTCTCTACCTTTGCTACAAAACAATTGTGTGATGCCGGGAGTGGTGACTCACACCTGTAATACCAGCACTCAGGAGGCTGAGGCAGGAGGATCGAATTTGGGAATTCGAAACCAGCCTGGGCTACAAAGTTACCTCAAGGCCAGCCTGAGCTGCATAAGGAGACCCTGTCTCAAAAACAAAAAACAAAAAACAAAACAAAAAAAAAAACCAACAACAACTTTGTGATCTTCGACCTGTGTTCATGTCCTAGGATTCCTCCCAGGTGCTACTGCCAGGCACCACCGAGCTGTTATCCTAGACTTGCTTCAGGAAGCACTAACAGAAGCTAGATTGACCTCCCAAGACATCGATTGCATTGCTTACACCAAAGGTACAGTTGGAAGAATGGTCCAGTGAAAGAGTATAGCTGGACACCGACTAGGTTAAAGTAGCCTGCTCCTTGCCTGTGCCACCACCACCCCAGGCACACTCACATCTCCCACTCTCCTCACCTGTTTTTTTCTAATCTCTAGAATTCTAACTCCCATTTCTCTCTGTGTAGGTCCTGGCATGGGTGCCCCATTGGCTTCAGTAGCAGTTGTGGCCCGTACGGTGGCCCAGATGTGGAATAAACCATTGATAGGTGTGAACCATTGTATAGGCCACATTGAAATGGGCCGCCTCATCACTGGAGCCAGCAGCCCAACTGTGTTGTATGTGAGCGGAGGAAATACTCAGGTATTGAGAGCACTTTACCCATCGCATCTTAATTTCTGAAGCACTCATCCGGCAGCTTCCTTGTTCTTCCTGAGTTGTAGGAACTACGGGAACAAAGCTGGCTTATCTAAACCTAAGTTATTGTAGAAGATTCAGACAAAGTTTGTGACATTGCAGATCTGGGCAGTATTAGAACATTTACAGTCATTAGAACATTAGTTGGCTTTTATGTGTGTGATTATAAAGAGCAGGAATTTCCACTATAGAAAAGAATGATAAGGGCCTGGTGAGGTGTGCATGCCTGTAATCCTAGCACTCAAAGGCTGAGGCAGGAGGGTTGCTTCGCGTTTGAGGCTGGCCTGGGCTACAAAGTGAGTTCAAGGCCAACCTGAACTACATAGTGAAACCCTGTCTCAAAAAGACAAAAAGAAAGAAAAGTAAGGCCAGGTGTGGTAGTACATGCCTGTAATCCCAGCACTAATGAGGCTGAGGCAGGAGAGTCACCACTGAGTTCAAGGCTAGCCTGAATTGTACATAGTGAGACCCTATGTTAAAAAAAACAAAAATAAATAAATAAATTTCGTTATTTTGAGGGCTTCAAGCCTTACCATTCTTACAAGCATGTGCCACCACATCCAGCGGAATTTATTTTTTTAAATGTTTGCAACTAAAACTGAGGACTACCACCTGATTTATTTCTTTAGGGTAACTACTTGTGTTATTTTATGTTATTGAGCACAAATACATACAATTTTTTTCCAAGAGCATTAAAATATAAATAACTTTTTAAAAAGTTCTTTATGTATGATAGAGATATTTTAAATTTATGGGTGAAGCTAGTTATTTGGGATGGTTTACATGATCTTTTAAGGTTGGTATTGGATTCTTTTCTAATAGCTGATGGTTTACTGTTAGCAGTAATTTATTCAGCATTGTCCTCTGCTTATGCAGGGGTTGTTACTAAAGGTGAAGTATGCATTGCCATGAAAGCTGTGTGGGACTGTCAGTTGGTAGAGGAAGTAGCTGGTTGAGGCCTGAAGGCTAATGTGCGAAAAGTATCAGAGGCTATAGGTGTTGATGAAGAAAAGCAGTAGTAGAGTTGTCCTCTTCTCTTTTGAAGCTTACTGTGGTGTAAGAAAAGGGGCGATGATTGGTTGAAAACAGTAGATAAGAAAAGTAGAAAGAAAAGCAAGGTTTTTCCTTCCCCTTTGTCACCAGCATTTTTGGCAGCAGAGTAAAAGCTACATCAGAAAGAAAGGAAATCCCTAACAGCACCGGGAAGGGAAAGGGACGTTTTATGTTTTTATTTCTTATTGGAAGCTAACTTGGCCACGTTGGTGCTTTGTAACTGTCTTCCCCAAAGTCAAATTCTCCTCTTTGCAGACTTGAGGTTTCATGGACATCCTCATCACCCTTAGGTCATTGCCTACTCTGAACATCGGTACCGAATCTTCGGGGAAACCATCGATATTGCTGTGGGTAATTGTCTGGATCGCTTTGCTCGAGTGCTGAAGGTAAGCCATCGAGGCTGCAGGAACCCACGATGTGGGTAAGTTTCTGGGGAGCAGTGGGAATGGAGGTAATAAGAGGCTTCTTGTGCTTCCTGGATATCTGACTCCATCATCATCATCATCTTCTTGTTGTTGTTGTATTCGGGGTTAAACCCAGGGCCTCTGCGCTGAGCTACATCCCCAGCCCTTTTTATTTTGGAGAAGGGCCTCACACTCAGTTGCCCAGGCTAAACTCAAACTTGTGACCCTCCTGCCCCAACCTCCCAGAACGCTGAAATTACAGGCATTACTTTTATCTTTTTTTATCCCACATGGGTGGATAATTAAAATATTTTGTGTATATCATGTTTATTATTAAATATGTATTTTGCATATGTGTCTGTTGTATACAATTCCCTAAAATTTTTATAGATGAATTTTCTTCAACTTGGTGAGGTGAAACACTCCAGAGTGGCAAGTATATACACATATGCGTGCACATGTGCAAGATTATATTTCTGTATGTTACTTTATTCGTATTTGTGTGGTCATCATTTTTGTTTGGTTTTTGGTTTTGGTGGCCCTGGAGATTGAACCCATGAGTGCTGTACCATTGACCTATATCCCCAGCCCTTTTTAATTTTTTATTTATTTTTTGTCTTTTTGAGACAGGGTGTCGCCATGCGGTTCAGGCTGGCCTTGAGCTCACTTTGTAGCCCAGGCTGGTCTCAAACTTACAACAATTCTCCTGCCTCAGCCTCCCAAGTGCTGGGATTACAGGCGTGTGCCACCATGCCTGGCTTTTTATTTTGGAAAGGGTCTTACTACGTTGGCCAGGGTGGCCCCAAACTTGCAGTCCTTCTGTCTCAACTTTCTGAGTAGCTGGGATTACAGGTGTGTGCCACTGTGCCCAGCTGATTATGTACTTTTTTCTCTTCTCTTATGGTAGATTTCCAATGACCCAAGTCCAGGTTACAACATCGAACAGATGGCAAAACGGTAAGAAGACAAAAGGGGAAGAAGCCAGCTGTTTCGGGGGGTTGAGGGGTTTCTCTGCATGTAGGTTTGGTGGGGACGTTGGAAAGTGAGCCACTTCTAACTCTTCTTACGTAGAGGCAAGAAGCTAGTTGAGCTGCCTTATACTGTAAAGGGGATGGATGTCTCATTCTCAGGGATTCTGTCTTTCATTGAGGTGAGTGTCAAAGGTAAGAAGACTGAGGCACCTTCATGCTCTTTTACTAAAGCATGGCTGCTTTGCTCACCAGTACGTTTCCTGCATATAGCACTAGTCGGTGTCAGATGTTGAATATATCCATTTAGCAAATATTGAGTATCTTTTGTGTGTCAGACACTGTTCTAGATGATAGACACACAGAACAAAAGAAGAATCTGTCTGTGATTGAGGTGGGGGTGGGGGTTGTTGGGGATTGAATCCAGGCCCTTTGCACTGAGCTACATCCCCAGCCCTTTCTAAAACTTTTTGTTTTGAGACGGATCTTGCTGAGTTGCCCAGGCTGGTCTCCAAGTTGTGCTCCTCCTGCCTCAGCCCCTCTGGAGTGTTGGGATTAGAGACCTGAACCACCATGCCCAGCTCTGTTCACTCTTTTGTTTGTTTTTCCCTTTAATTGTAGGATGCAGCCCTGCGGATGTTAGCAACAGGCGAGTGTACCCCTGAGGATCTGTGTTTCTCACTGCAGGTAATGGAGTGAAAAATGGGGCTGGAAAGTAGAGGCTGGAGCTGGGTGTAGCGGCACGTGCCTGTAGTCCCAGCACTTGGGAGGCTGAGGCACAAGGATTGCCATAAATTCAAGGCCAGCCTGGGCTATAAAGCGAGTTCAAGGGGCTGGGGATTTAGCTCAGCGGCAAAAGCGCCTGCCTGGCAAGCGCAAGGTCGTGAGTTCGGTTCCCGGTACCTGAGAAAAAAACCAAAACAAAACAAAAACAAACAAACAAACAAAAAAAGCGAGTTCAAGGCCAGCCTGCACCACATAGCAAGACCCTGTCTCAAAAAAAACAAAGAAACAAAAAACAACAAAAGTAGGGGCTGGAAAAACCTTTATAGGACAGAGCAGAACTAAGCTAAGATGCCTGTCTGATATTTTCACCTTGTCTGTTCCCCACAGGAAACTGTGTTTGCAATGCTGGTGGAGATCACAGAGCGAGCCATGGCACACTGTGGCTCCCAGGAGGCCCTCATTGTGGGAGGTGTTGGGTGTATGTATCAGTGAGTGGTGCTCTTACCTAGTCCTGGCCTTGGGCTTCTTCTGAGGTTCTAAATTGCTAAAGGTTGGGGAAGTTGCTTGCCCTGTCCCTCCCAATCCTGTGCCTAGTCCTAAGTGCACATGAAGTGTACAGTGGCATAGGCAGTGATGGTTAAAACAGACTCTGTCCCCTCCCTCCCACAGGTAATGTGAGGCTGCAGGAGATGATGCAGACAATGTGCCGGGAACGCGGGGCCCAGCTTTTTGCTACAGATGAGAGGTAAAAGTCTTCTCTTTCTTGCTTTCTTTTTTCTCTTACCTTTATTATGATTTTCTGTTCTTGGATTACAAGTTTCACATCACTTTTTCTTCCCCAGATTCTGCATTGACAATGGAGCCATGATAGCCCAAGCTGGCTGGGAGATGTTTCAGGCTGGACACAGGACCCCTCTCAGTGATTCTGGGATTACACAAAGGTGAGGGAATCGGTCTTGGAGAGGGTAGATAGGAGTAGACATGACAAGTAAGCAAAAAAAAAATCTGAGAAGATAAATTCAGGAACCTGAGTGCAGAGAAGAGAGGAAAACGCTCAGGGATAGTCTTCCACCAAGTGTTTCTTGTTTTTCCACAGGTATCGAACAGATGAAGTAGAAGTGACATGGAGGGACTAACAAGATTAACGAGATCAGAGTAGGTAGTTCTCTAAGTGGAGCTCCGAGGACTGGGCATAATCTCTCTCCTGGTGTGGAAATCTTGGCAGTGCTGTAGACTCCACGAAAGGCTTGTGGTCTTCTGTAGAACCTCAAGATGACTCTGCAATAAAATATTTTTGGTTTTGTATGTTGGTAATTGGATTGTATTTTTTCAGAGCCAATATGGAGTTAGCCCTGGGTTGGGCCAGTAGTTAGGAGGAAAGGGTCAGAGCAACACCCTGGCTGATTGCAGGTAACCTTGGAGGCTGCTGATCAGGAATAGCATAAAGGAAAATCATGGGTATACTATCTTCTTGTTTTTTTTAAATATTCTCTCAACAGTAGTATTTTCTTTCTTTTTTCTTTTTTTTTTTTCCCTTTTGAGACAAAGTCTCGCTATGCAGTTCAGGGTGCCCTTGAGCTCACTTTGTACCCCAGGCTGGTCATGAATTTGCAATGATCCTCCTGCCTCAGTCTCCCGAGTCCTGGGATTACAGGTGTGTGCCACCACACCCGGCTAACAGTAGTAGTCTTACAACTATCAGTAATACTGTTGTACGAAGCCCTGAGCTGACTGCATTTTACTCATTTCTTTCTAATTTTTTGAAGTAGGTGTTCAGGGCTTCCCTCAGAATATCCTGGAGATAGAGCTAATTTGTGACTCAAAGGTGAAACTGTCCTTCCTTCATACATTTTTCTCCTAAGTATTCCATGCACCAGCACTGGCAAACTCCATTGGGCCCCAGATATACATCCCTCCCTGTCATGACCACCAGAACTAATTGTGTCTTGCCCCTTATTTTCAGTGTATCACCACAAGAAGTCCTGAACCACCAAGTCACCTTATCTTTTACACTGTCCTATTCATACATATCTTTACCCTGTTTTTGGTCCCCATCTACCTCCCCCATCTACCTCCCTCTTTCACCTCCTGAAACCTTGCTACTTACTCTCTAGAACTAACAGCCCATCACTTACAAAACTATTCTCAACCTTTTCTCTGAGTGTTCCCCTCATTCTTGCCTTGAGACCTAGTTTCTTACGAGGACTGCTTCTCCTTCCCTGCACTAAAGTGGGTGCTTTCCACATGCTTTGCAGCACTATGCTTGGAAGTGGTGCAGGTGTTTTTCTTTCGTCTATACTATTCCCTGATCGTTCTTCCTCATCTTTAATGCCTGTGTGAATCATTAGAATATAGTGGACCTATACCACTCTTGTCATCAATCTTGATGACTTCAGTATCCGTGTAGATATCCTTCTAGTATCTGCTTCAACCACTCATGGCCTTAGTCATAATCTAGACCTCTGTTTCCCTCCTATCTCAACCTGAGATATCGTGCTCTGCTACCATTATATCCTATCTTTTCAGATTACACCCTTTACTCTGCTGAATCCAGCAATTCATTCTTTTACCAGGACCTACGATCCTTTTATTGTACTTCCACTGACTTTATTCCCTATGTCTTCATTTCCTTTCTCCTCCAGCTAAATTCCAATAATAAACACTGTATTACATATACCTTACCCCCTTTGCCTGTGTTTTACTGTGACCACATGACCTACTGCCAGCATCTATGCTCATATACTTGGCTTTCCTTTCTCTTACCATAGACCAGTAGCTCTCAAGTAGGGCTGGTTTTGCATCTTGGGGGACATTTGGTTTTGAAAACAGGGAATGGATACTATTAAGTATCCTACAGTGCACAGGAAAGCCCCATCACCACTCCCCAACAAAAGAATTCGTGTGCAAAATTTCATTGGTGTTGAGACTGAGAAACCCTATAAACACTGTCCTTGTCCTGTCTACAGATTTGTGCTGTAGACATATCTAGGTTTTGAGAAACCGGCTCAGCAGTTGTCCAGCCTTCTTCCTCCTTCTTTTAAAAATTAAGTTTATTGGTACATTTTAGGTGTATGTAATGGTCACATTCATCATAGGGAATTTGTACCTGTATATGGTAGATCTTGATTCCTCTTTCCCATTCCCCTCCCCTCCCTCCAACACCTCTTCTCATTTACAAAGCTTTGTTTGCATTTTATTTTTCTCTTACTGTTTTTTTTCTTTTCCCTTCCTTTTTTTCCTCCTCCCCCCTCCCCAGTTCCCCTTCCCATTTGAACACTTTCTTCCTATTTCACAATGTCTATTATACATTTTGGCCCTTATGTACATTTTTAGTTTTAAAAACAACAGAATGTGGTATTTACACATTGTGTCTGATTTATTTCACTGAAGAGTATGGTCTCAAGGTGCATCCATTCAGCTAGAAATGTCTCAAGGTTATCTTTTACAGCTGAGTAGTACTGCACTGTGTTAAAGAACCACGATTTCTTTATCCATCAGCAATAACAATAGCATCAAACAAAGCCTACAAAATGAAAAACTGTGGAAACTATTAATTTGCTACCTTCAACCATGTATGAACTAGATTTGTGGTTATATAACAAAATTTAAAATGAACCAGAACATTGTATGCAGTAAATAAGCCCTCAATATGGGGACTCTAGGGTAAGGGAAAAGAAAAAATAGAGGAAAAAAAGGAAGAGATTAGAAAGAAGGCTGGAGGACCAAGGATAACACAAACTTTGGGAAACAGGTGCAGAAAACAGGAGGGAAAAAACAACAATAACAAAAAACTAGAAGCCATGTTCACACTCAAAAATAAAACATGGAACAAAAAACAATGAAAAAGAAAATTTTTAAAAATGTTCAGTGTGTGTCTCTGCTGCCAATGGTAGACAAGTGGACAGACAGGGTGTAGGTCTGAGCTGATTAATCCCACCAAGCTAGCTGTAGATTTACACATTCATCATTGAGTATTCCCATCAGCACACAAGTACGCTCCTTTTTCTTTGTACAAGTGGTGCCTTCTGCCCTCTTTTCTCATTTTGTGCTCTACTTTATAGCAAAATCTGAGAGTTCTCTCCAATCCAGGAAAGACTGCACCTTTAGTTCTGGTACAGTTCAGGCTGGTTTCTGGAGGTGAGGCTGGAACTAGATTTGTGTGCCTCCTTTCAGCTTGAACTTGGCTACCTGACTTCCTGTCTCCTTGAATTTGGCAGTCTCACCCTGTCACTGGAAGTCACTAGATGGAGCAGTCCCACAGACATTGAGTTCTGAGCTGGCCCCTCCACAAGATGGCTACCAGCCACTTGCCCTCTCCTGGGAGATGTCTGAACTGGAATAACTCATCAGTCCAGCAGTCTGCTGCCTCTACTGCTCCTTTCCAGTGGTGTGTTTCTCTGTGGAGGTGTCTGAGGTTGCCAGTAATCACTGTGTGTCTGCAAGTTCGAGCTGCCCCTCCCATGCAGTAAGTCCAGGCTGAGGGAGAAAGTGCCACCTGCCACCTCCTTCATTGAAGTCTCTTTGCTCTCCGCATGGGCTTCAGTTCTCGTGTCAGATCCTTCATGTTGCTATATTCCAGTGTCTGGGCACCAAATCTCACAGAGGATCTTTCTCTGCTGGTCACCACTCCACCATCTTCCCGGAAGTTCCCTCCTTTTCTGTAGAGTCAGTATTTTCCTTTGTCTCTTGAGTATTTCAGCACACAAGTATGCTACTTTTTCTTTGTACAGATGGTGCCTTCTGCCCTCATTTCTCATTTTGTGCTCTACTTTATAGCAAAATCTAAGAGTTCTCTCCAACAGTTTCTTATTAAATCTACTCCACCAGAACTGTTTCTGCCATGGTCACTAACGACTTGGATACAGCTATATCCACTGTTCTCCTTTATCTTAGAGTCTGTCAGTAGCATTTGACACTGCTTTGAAATATTTTCCTTATCTGGCTGTACAGTGTATTTTCTGCTGATTCCTAACTGACTGTTCTTTGTTTCTTGGTGATTTCTCTTTATCTGCGTGAACTGTTAACTTTCCAGAGCTCAGTCCTCAGACTGATCTATTTAAATGGCCATCTGCAGTAATTTCATCCAGTCTTAGAATTAACTACTCAACAGGCTGAGTCAAAAGGACCATACATTTGAGGCCGTCCTGGGCAATTTATTGAGCCCTTGTCTCAAAAAATAAAAGGCAGATATGAGAGACTGAGGCAGGAGAACTGTGAGTTTGGCCCAAGCCTGGACAATTTAACAAAACTCTGTCTCAAAAAATAAAGCTGACCATGGGAGGCTGAAGCAGGAGGATTGCAAGTTTGGCCCTAGCCTGTGCAACTAAGTGGTTTAACACAGGGCTGGGGATGTAGCTCAATGTGAAGGTCCTAGATTCAATGCCTAGTATCACACTAAGGATATAGTTAGTGTAGAATACCCCTGGGCTCCATCTCCAGTAGTTCCCCCACCAAATTATTTTTACATGGATGACTCCCAGTTTTATGGTTCCAACCTGGACTTCAGTCCCAAATACAGGTCTAGCTGCCTGTTATCATCTCCACTTGGGTATTTAATAGGCATTTCAAGTTTTCAGTATAAGTGCTGACAAAGCGAGCACTTAGTAGGCATTTCAAATTTAACATCCTGGCCAAGCGTGGTGGCACATGCCTGTAATCCCAGCACTTGGGAGGCTGAGACAGAAGGATCCTTTCAAGTTCGAGACCAGCCTGGGCTACAAAGTGAGCTCAAGGCCAGCTGAACTGCATAGTGAGACCCTGTCTCAAAAAGACAAAACAACAACAACAAAAATCAGATTTAACATCCGGATGCAGCAAGCGCTTTAAATGCCTGAAAGACCATGCTTGGAAAGAAAGAAAAGGTGTGGTGGTGCAGACCTGTAATCCCAGCACTTGGAGGCTGACGCAGGAGGAGCGCCATGAGCCTGAACTCTATAGCTATTGCAGATAGGAGACCAAAGGGAGACTCTGCACCAAGGAGTTCAGAAGGCTGACTTTTATTCATAATGCTGGTGGGCTGAGGAAAACTGAGTTTCAAATCATCTGCCCAGAGTCAGGCTTGAGTTTAATTTAAATATGATTTGCAAGTGAGAAGTACAAAACCAAGTCCTTGGCAGGGGATAGAGCTCAGCGGCACAGGCGCCTTCCTGGAAAGTGTAACGTCCTGAGTTCAATTCCTGGTACCAAAACAACAAAAAATATCAACCAAAACCAAGTCCTTGATTGAGCCAGTCTTTCCTCAAACTTGATGGCCTTGAAGTAGGCTGGAGTCAATGCATATTTTCTTAATTAAAGGAAGCACAGAC